TGTATCTATTTATCTATTTATCTATTCTATATATATTATTATTATTATGTTTATTATTATTATGTTTTTTATTATGTTTATTATTATTATGTTATTTATGTTTATTATATTCTTATATGTTTATATGTTCTTATTATTATGTATATTTCTATACCTTTATCTATTTTTATATCTATTCTATATGATTATATGACTATACTATGTTCTTGTCTTCTATACTTATACTACCTACACTTTAACTTATTAACTTATTACCTTATTAACTTATTCCCTTTATTATCACTTTATCACTTTATCACTTTATCACTTTATCACTTTATCACTTTATTATTACTAGTCTATACTATATGTGTGTATCTTATAGTCTGACTTATACCTTTATAGTTTTATAGACTTCATTATTTCTGTATTTATATATCAAAGCATTCGTGCCCGAGTGGTCTAAGGGGGCCGATTTAAGCTCGGCTATCGGAAGATGCGTGGGTTCGAACCCCACCGGATGCATTCTTTTTATACACTTCACTTATATGTTTCTTTATATATTATTATATTATATATATCTATATTCTTATTTCTATTATTATTATTATTATGTTTATTATTATTATGTTCTTTATTATGTTTATTATGTTTATTATGTTTATTATGTTTATTATACTTATACACTTCTTATTCTACTTCTTACTATATTATCTTTACTTCTATTATATATGTATCTTAGTATTTATACTACTTATACTATCTTTCTTATCTATACAACTTATACAACTTATACAACTTATACAACTTATACACCCTTATGTATATGTACACCTTATTATGTATTTTATTCCTTTTTATTATTATTACTATTCCTATTCATTTTCTTACTCTTTTCCCTTTCTATAACGAAGCATTCGTGCCCGAGTGGTCTAAGGGGGCCGTCTCAAGAACGGCTATCGCAAGATGCGTGGGTTCGAACCCCACCGGATGCATTCTTTTAACTGTATCTTATATATATTGTCTTATTCTTATATATACTTTTAACTTTTTATTATCTATATATCTATTTCTCTATATATCTATTCCTTTCCTATATCTCTCATTTCTTATATCTCTATTATTACCTTAGGG